GTTGAGGTCATCTTAAAGACAGCGATGTGTTTGTTTAGTTAAAGCATGTCTGTTTGGGTAGCAGTGGTTAGCTGGCTATAGCTAGCGTCGCCATTCGTGACACAGAAACGACCTCGTAAAAAGAAAAAAAAAGAGATGCGGACAGAAACGGTTAAGGAGTGAAGAAAACCGTCTCCGGTCACGACTCTTTAACGGGGCAACTGTCAGTATGCTGAATGCCAGATTACCTGGTTGTAGATGAGACGCCAGCCCGCTGCGTGAAGTTGCTTGACGTTAGCAGCTCCGTCCCTCCTGAGGAGAGTCAACACCCGTCGAGATGGATTTACACCTGACGTCATTAATCAGGAGTTACAAGAGCTGCTGCTCAAAACTTCTACGTCACATTCCGCTCGTTTCCTTTTGTTTAAGTAAAATACGAATTAACTTCTTATCCTGTAAATAACACGACAAAAATAAAACTATATTAAACAATAGCATGTAAACAACCATTACTTTTTTACATTTTTATTATATAATTATTTAGAGCATTAAATATGATTACAATATTTTTACGACATCGCATACTTTAGAAAGTGGAACTCCAGCATTGTTTATATGTATTAGTCAAAGCCTATATAGCTTTTTTGTGTGATTTGGAGATCAATCTACCGCTTGCCAGAAGATTCCAGTTGAAACTAATAGCTGACCTTCGAGTGTTTAAAATCGTTGTTTACTGGCCTCCTGCGGTCGAACTGGAGAACTGCAACGTTAGTCAATTAGTCAACGTAGACAATGTTAGTGTCAGTGAAGGCATAATGGAAAGACAATGGCAATGCTGTAAAAAAATAAATAAATAAACCGCACCATTGTTGTTTAGTGAGCTAGTCTTTTTTATTATGAATTATATATTCAACATCATATTTATTATGTTTTAGCTTTATTATTCTGTCGCCAGCTATTCAGAGTCAGAGCTGGCCCAAGGTGCCTAGACCATCACCTCCAACCAACCCTCAGCACTACAAATATTAACTTTAGTTAATAGTGCTAATAGTAGTCCTTGCTTAACCATTTCTGCCTTGTACAATAACCATTATCATAACCATTCCTGTACCATAACCATTATTATTATTGTTGTTGTTGTTATAGATTATCGTTATGGTGGCTTATTAGTGTGGTGAGAGGTAATTAAATAAACCCTGCAGACAATGAATTTATGAAGTATAAATTTAAACATAAAATATAAGGATATCTGTGTACAGTCTCACAGTTTTATCAATATGTCTCTAAGTTTTGTGTTTGAACACATTAAAGAAATGCTGACAAAAAGTGATTTTTATATATCACATCATTACGCATTTAATCTAATTTACCCTAATGCATTTTTAATACACTTTTATTGGGCCCAACCAAGGTACTGTAATTTTAGGGTTACAGTTTCATAAACATTTAAAGATCTGGACATATATATATTTAAACTTCCAAATATATATAGAGATAGACTGATTACACTATTCACTAGGGCAGGGCAATATGGCCAAAAATATTTATCACAATATACATTTGAAAATTTGCAATAACAATATAACTGACAATATAATTGACGCGAGACAAAATACTTTACAACTCCCAACTTTATTAGTGCAAAAAAAGAAAAAAAAACATCAATGTATTTTCACTTAAACAAGCAGCTGTTTAAGTGAAAATTTAACAGTGAAAATACAAATTCCTTGCTGGCAGTTTAACCAAAAGGCATTTCCAGTGAAAATGGGCTGACATATCCTGAGCATAACCATGTATAATATCCACAAAACTTAAAAAGAGGTTATACACACACACACACACACAATATGGTAATATTATGTTGAAGCACAGTCAGGAACGTAGTCAGGAACCTCACTCCGCGAGGTTCCTGACTACAGCAGTCATAATGCTCTGACAATCCATCAAGCGGTGCGGCTTTGTAGCTTAGCAAAGTCATACTAAAACTTTTTTTTTTTTTTTTTGAGCACCAGTGTACCACACAAAATCGTTTCGAGGTCAGTAAGCACAACCAGAATTCATACATAAGAATTATAAGGGGCAGTGTCAATTTTTTCAGAAAATCAAAGGATTTAAAGAGCAACTTATTTTCCCAAAACCACGGTAATAACAACGGCCCGCTAGCATGCTCTAGCAAAAATTGTGCTTTGGTGTGTATCTGACGGACAAAAGCCAAACCAGTTCCACACCACTGAAGTTGCACCATTTTAACAAACCAATTCTGGTTCATCTGTTTCATTCAACGCCCTTCTCATTCTCGGTCATTATGCTTTTTCTGCCATGTGCGTATGAAAACAAAGGCACTGCACGCGCGTTTTACCCATATTGTATCGCGATATTTATCGTTGCCTAACATTATATCGGTATTACCGTGAAAGGTATGATATGGCCCAGCCCTACTATTCACTATTATTCTGCTGTGCTTTGATCTTTTATGACCTCTGATGTCCTTTAGCACCAAAAAGGTTGAGAACTGAACCAGCTTGTATCATTTCTGTACTATGCTACATTCTTGTAGAGGTCTGTCTGTGTATCAGATAGTTACAACAAGATGTGGTAGAAGATGAAGCAAGTGGAAATATCAAGGAAAATTAAAGTTGCTCTGACAGTGGTGAAAAATATGAGGAGAAGAGAGAGTGTGTTTAAAGATAAAGTCAATGTATTCTCTTTTTCTTATATAAATCAGGGTTGCACTGAAGGTGGAGCCTATCCCAGTTGTCACAGGGCAACAGGTGATATTATATAAAGCTCTGAATAGGAAATTACTATATATGAACCAGTCCATTTAACTTGCAAATTCCATCTATCTATCCATCCATTTTCTTCCACTTATGGGGGCAGCAGCCTAATCGGAGAATGCCAGACCTCCCTCTCCCCGGCCACCTCCTCAAGCCTTTCCAGTGCACCACCACTCAGTTCAGTTCAATTCAATTTTATTTATATAACGCCAAATCACAACAACAGTCGCCTCAAGGCGCTTTTGAATTGTAAGGTAGACCCTACAATAAACCTAAATATACCTAAATCTTTCAGCTTGGGGCAGGAAGTTGTCCCTGACCTAGAGTGGTGACTCCATCCTTTTTCCAGCTGAGGACCAAATTATGAACAGAATGTGTGATAAAGGGCAGCCCTGGTGGACTCCAACACCCACCAGAAACAGTATGCAGACAAAAGCTCATGCAACGGTTGAATAATGATCGAATGGCCTGACACCCCATACTCCGGAACACCTCCCATAAGACACTTCGAGGGAAACCCATGTAGACTGGTTGGGCAATCTCCCATGCCCTCTCAAGTATCCTAAAGAGGGTGAAGCTGGTTCAGTGTTCTGCGACCGGGACAAAAACTGCATTGTTCCTCCTGTATCTGAGGTTTGACTAACGGATGGGCTCTCCTTTCGAGCACCCTGGCAAGACTTTCTTGGGGAGGCTGAGGAGTGTGATCCTCCTATAGTTGGAACACACCCTTCGGTCCCCTTTCTTGAAGATAGGAACCACCACCCAGGTCTGGTAATCAGGAGTTACAACCCCTGATCTCCACACAACATTGTAGAGGTGTGCCGACCAAGACAGCTCAACAACAGCTAGAGCCTTCAGGAACCCAGGCCTAACCTCATCCACCCCGGGAGCCCTGTCACTAAGAAGTTATTTAACTGCCTCAGTGGCGTAACCCCCGGAGATAGACAAGTTGTCTCCCTTGTCCCCATATGCTGCTACCTTTACAGAAGATGTGTCAGTGGGATTAAGGTGGTCCTCAAAGTATTCCTTCCAAAGCCCGACAATGTCTTCCTTCAAAGTCAGCAGCGTCTGGACTTCTTTAGGGTTCACAAGAAACTTAAAGAAGTCCAGACGCTTTTCTTTCCAAGCTCCTTTGACTACGATGACGTGGAGCACTGAGAACCTCCACAGGTATACACAATGTAGGTAAAGTACCACTTCTCCTTCTGAGTCGCCTGATGGTTTGCCAGAATCTCTTCAAGGCAGTCCAAAAGTGTTTTTCCATGGCCTCTCCGAACTCCTTCCACACTCGAGTTTTTACTTCAACCACTGCTCGAGCTGTGTTCCTCTTGGCCTGTCGGTACCTATCAGCTGCCTCTGAAGTCCCACAGGCTAACAAAGCCCAATAAGACTCCTTCTTCAGCCTGATGGTTCCCTGTTTCCCTGCAGCTTCAGTGCAGCAGTTTTAGCAATGGAGGCCCAACCACCAGACGTTTGCCCCTCGCTGGGCCTGACTCCAGGGTCCCGAGAGGGTAACCAGTAACCCTATCCCAGGCAGGAACAGTTCCCTTGATCTTCTGCTTATAGGGGTTTTTGAATCCCTCTTTGGTCCCTCACCCAGGATCACTTTGGAGACCCTGCCAGGGGACAAAAAGCCCCCAACAACACACTGTGCTGCCATGTTATAAAGAAAAAGTTAAATAAAACACTTTTGATGGGAGAGATTTTTAAGCTGACAAGAGTGGTGACAATCAGTGAGCAGCATTATGCCTTGTCATCGTTTATAATTTTTTTCTAAAGCACACATGGGAAAATTATACAAGGAGCTAAAGGCCTGGGACTGGTAAAGGGCGACCAAAATTTTTATAAAAGATAAACGAACCAACCCCACAAAAAATCATAACTATGCTAAGGAATCTCAAGATTTCTTCAGTGATTCTGTATTGAAAATTCCCTTCATCAGTGACCTAGGAAGTGCTACATATCAGTCAACTGGCAAGCTGTAGACTAATTTAAGTGCAACTACTTTGATAGACTTTTTTATGTAATCTGTAACCATGCAATGCAGTTTGTTGCTGCTTTCTAACTTTATAGAAATCAGTATGACCCTCTGGGAAGCACCCTAACCCTAGGTCAAACATTTCCTACACGTAGTTCATACAGCGTTGAATTTGCTGGATTGGAGCTGACGCCCGTGCTCTGACACCTTCCCTTCGTTACTAAATTAGCTCCGTGTGGACCTCCGGGCAGTCCCTACACGCAGAGCGAACGCTCCGGAACGCTCGGCGACAGCCAATCAGCGTATCTCCCTGCTTTGTTAGCTCTCCTCTGCCAAAACAACAGCTCGTTTCGATTTGTTTTCCTTTTCGCCGCGTAGCCACCAACAAACAGAGCGAGTAAAATGTTAGAATAAATAAAGCGTGTATTTGTGTTTGGTGTTATTATCGTTTTGGTGTTAGTCTAGACTGAAGGCAGAGGAAGTTGGAACTGCCGACGCATCGTTCGCTGCTAGCTAACTGGAGCTAATATCGAGCGACCCAACAGAGAAAGCAGAGATGGGGTCCATCCTGAGTCGTAGAATCGCTGGTGTTGAAGACATCGATATTCAAGCCAACTCGGCTTACCGATTTCCACCGAAATCTGGTAAATGATCGTCAATGTCTCCGATGAAATCATATTCGTCATAAACCCCCATCTTCCTAACTAGTGCGGTCTAAATGCGCTTTCTGCTAATGACCGTCAGCCGCGCAGACAAATAATGATTGTAAACATATGTGATTGCGATTTTTTTTTTTTTTTTTACCAATAGACGGTAACTTAATAAAACATTTTTGTCAGATTTACAGTATTTTCGGTGTGTCGGACATTGCTGCCGCCGAGGATAAAGCACGATGGCTGTTTATTAGGCTATTACAGACAGACAGTCTTGATGTTCATCAGGATGATCATGAGTAGATGGACTTTTAAGAACTGGGGAATCATAGATGTTGACGTAGTGACCCTCTATGTCATCAAATGTTTCTCACCCTTTAAAGCAATAACCTTTAAACAGTTTGATAGCATATAGATCTTTTCACATTGTAAAAACAATGTGAAGATGAGTATATAAACTAGTTTAGCCACCATTTTATTGCTTGCCAAACTAGTTTTCTTAGCATTAACTGAATAATGGAAGTATTTTAAATTTGACAAATAGCTGAAAAGAATCAAAATTAAAGCTTCAAGGTTGCTGTGCTGCTTTTTCCGAAATGACTGCACTATTAAACATGAGTGCATCCAATCTGTTCATCGCTTTTTCTTTTAAAATATCTCACCTTCAGGGAATTATTTTGCCAGCCACTTTTTCATGGGAGGAGAAAAATTTGACACGCCACATCCAGAGGGATACCTTTTTGGGGAAAACATGGACCTGAATTTTCTTGGAAATAGGCCAGTGCAGGTGAAAACTGTTGTTTATTTAACTTGCTGTTTAGCACTGTATTTTCAACAGCAGTTTGACATTTCTTATCAATAAAATGGTCAGTAGAACTATTTCAATAATTTCAAATCCTTCTATTTCACTAGTTTCCATATGTAACACCTGCACCCCATGAGCCTGTGAAAACCCTGAGGAGTCTGGTGAACATCAGGAAGGATTCTTTGCGTTTGGTCAGGTAGTGATATAAAGGCACTATCACAATGAAACATCACCATAACAGTTTTAATGAAGCCAGTCACATTGGCCTAAGCCTTGTCAAATGTCTGGATTGTAGGTATAAAGATGACTCTGACACACTGGCGGAGGACGGCGGGAAACCAAAGGTCCAGTATGGTGTGGAGTTCACTTTTGATGCTGATGCTCGAGTGGCTATCACCCTCTACTGCCAGGCATTTGAGGAGTTCTCCAATGGCATGGCAGTGTAAGGATTTAATCTTACAATTAATACAATCAAATCATCATCTGGTTTTTTACTTATTAAATAAAAATCCATGCCGTGTGTGAAGTAAACAAAGATGGGGCAAATGCATCTGCGGATCAGTTGTACCATTCACACAGACTGATACTGCTCTGACACAGCGTCTTCATGTTAATGTGAAGCAGTAACAACAAGAAACATTTAAATGCTGTTTTATGGGTGTGAGATTGAGCTCCAGAGCACAAAGTCTAGAATAGATGCAATGGGTCCTTAGCAACCACCAGTCACCATGGATACCAGATAAGACTCAGACAAAGACGAAAGTGATAGTCTGAAGTTGCCGTCTTATGAAACAAACAAGATGATCCATAAAATGACGGCGGCTGCTGCTGTTGTGCTTGGTTTTCTATTTTCTTTAGTTTGATTTTATTTAAAAAGTGTACTGAATTTCTTAATACATATAAGTGTTAGTTCACATTGAGTCTTCATTGCTGATGTCTGTATAAGTGCAGCAGCAAAAAGTTTCCAGGTTGTACTGGAATATTTCTTCCCTTTTCTGTCATTTCCAAAGTCAACTTTGATAGTTTTGCTGTCTTCTACATGTAGGTACAGCCCAAAGGATCCGTCGATGGCCTCTGAAACTGTGCATTACAAGCGGGGGGTGAGCCAGCAGTTCTCCATGCCGTCTTTTAAAATAGATTTCAGCGAATGGAAAGAAGAAGATGTAAGCATTTGCAGTAGTTAATGCATTTTGTAATCAGTTTAATTTAGCACATAAAAAAGCATTGCATCACCACGTTTGATTTGATATATGTCTTCTATTTATGTGTAACTGTCTCCTTTAAAGCTGAATTTCGACCTCGACCGAGGAGTGTTTCCCATGGTGATCCAAGCTGTGGTTGATGAAGGGGACGGTAAGTCGCTGGAGCTGCACAGGACTAATACCAATATTGACTCTGTTAAAAAGGGGACTGTTGAACTTTTTCTTACATTTTGTCTTTAATATATGCTACAGTTGTAGATGTTTACAGCAAACATGGCCAAAGTTTTAGATAATTTGGTCAGTTTATGTACAGGTAATTCTTGTGAGCCAAAAGTTTAGGCATTTAGGTGCTCTAAGTGTTTGGTTTCTGACTCCTTTCTCTGCTTCTATATGATATCAGAGGAAGCAGATCTCCCTTATATAGTCATCTCAGGCAAACAGTTTTTCTCTTGTGAAAACAGGAGAGCCACCCCCATGAACTTTCTTTTTGGGATGAGCAGCCAATCAGAGGAAGGTTAGAAGGGAGGGTGACCTTCAAGAAGGAAAAGCTAAACTGCCTTGTTTAAGATAAATAGAATAATTTTGAACTCTGAGTCATGCAAAGCTACTATAGTGGAGTCAAAAAAAATAAAATTAAAAAGCTGGAAATCGTCTCTCAGTGGGCTCCTTTTTAACATTTGAAAGTAATGGACTACGATCACAGTTTAATTGTTACCTCAACATTTGTAATAATCTTGATGTTTTGTTTTTTTCAAGATTGTCTTGGACATGCCCATGTGCTTTTGGCAGCATTTGAAAGAGTATGTATATGTTAAAAAACAATAAATAATTTTAACATGTAGAGAGCATGTTTACTATTTATATGAGCTAAAACATGTCTTGTCCCCCCCCCAGCATGTTGATGGGAGTTTCTCAGTGAAACCTCTGAAGCAGAAGCAAATTGTAAGTTTATAAAGGTTTTTATTTCAGTCTTGTTTTATTATAAGTTATTGAAGTTTAGAGTAAAGTCATATTTGAGCCGTTAGTTATTTATCCAGCCCATGTGTGGCATGTTTCTATCAAAGAGCAGGTGAAAGGTGGATGTTTCAGCCTGTGAAAGCATGTGAGCAGATGTGTGCCAATCTCTAAAATAGACTTGATTGTAAACCTGCGCTTTAGACTCTGAATGTATTTATTTATTCTACATTTGAGCGACAAGCACTACTTTAATGTTATTAAGTATACATAACAGATTTACAGTCATTTGTAGTGAATGGGTTTTCTTTCAAACTTTTAAGAATATGTGGATATTTTTTTTATAAAATCTAAATGTTGAATTTCATTTTTTACTTTTTTCTCAGGTGGACCGTGTAAGCTACCTCTTGCAGGAGATTTATGGAATCGAGAACAAAAACAACCAAGAAACTAAGGTTGGAATTGCTAACTGAGAAGAATCACGATGTTGGAAAAAGTTGGCTGTGATTGATTTGTAAGCCTTTTTGTTCTTCTTTAGCCATCTGATGATGAGAACAGTGACAACAGCAACGAGTGCGTCGTCTGTTTGTCTGACCTGCGAGACACGCTTATCCTGCCCTGCAGACACCTTTGTCTCTGCAACTCCTGTGCGGACACTCTGCGGTACCAGGCCAACAACTGCCCCATCTGCAGGCTGCGTAAGAAGTGTTACTTTCTTAAAAAAAAAAAAAGTTGTGTCATGCTATATGAGCAGGTTTAGATTCAATCAATGAATTCATTAATGAATGTATCTGCTTTCCAGCCTTCAGAGCCTTGCTTCAGATCAGAGCTGTAAGGAAAAAGCCTGGAGCTCTTTCTCCCGTGTCCTTTAGTCCAGTTCTGGCTCAGACTATGGACCACGATGAGCACTCAGTAAGATATACGTTTTTAACCAGCTGTGCATCTTACCTAACTGCATTAACTGTAAAAAAAAATTTTTTGAAATCTTTATTATAATATTAAGATCAACAATAAATCCACTTTTCTCTTTCACTGACTTTTTGCAGGGCACAGACTCAGTTCCTCCTGGCTTCGAGCCCATCTCACTGTTAGAGGCCCTGAATGGTTTGCGCTCGGTGTCTCCTGCCATCCCATCAGCCCCCCTCTATGACGACATCAATTTCTCTGGGGGTCTGGGAGGGGACAACAGACAGTTAAGCTCTCCAGAGCATTTAAGCGATGGAAGTCTGCAGAAAGGCAAAGTCAGCAAGTCACCTGACAGGTAATCTAAGACATAAAATCTTTACTGCAAGTAATCTGGTTTAGGTAGGAAATTGGATAGCATGTAATGGTGTCAAACATCATTTCCCATGAGACTCTGCCAGTAATCAGATTTACCCCTTTATCCATTTCCTGTAAAGAGCTGTGTTTTTAGTTAATCTTTATGCCTCCAGCAAATTTTCTTTTTTAGAGGAAAATTTAGAGCTGACATAATCATGTAAAATGGGCCTGTTAGAGGCTGAAGGCCCAAGGGCTTATCTAAGGGCTAGAATATTTTTGTCAAAGTCAAATTCTGTGCATGAATGTCACCGTGAATAATTAAATTACCACTTCTAATAGTATAGTTAAGTATTTCTTATTTTTCTGCATTGTTCCCCTCCAGCACCCTGAGGTCTCCATCGTCTCCAATCCAGGAGGAGGATGAAGAGAAGCTGTCGGAGATGTCTGATGCTCAGCCACACACTCTTCTGTCCAGTAGCCCCGCCCCCACAGATGTAAGCTTCTTCTTCACTAACTGACATTAAGCTCTGACACCAGTACAGACAAAAACCTACCTTCCTTTATTCTTCCAGGCCACAGCGACTGAGGACGTGGCAGAATCCCTGTCTCCAGATGAAGGTGAGTTTTCTCCTTTGGTTCTCAGTGAACAGTCATGTGTTTGAGTGACAGTGATGACATTCTGGACTTTGTTGGTATCCAGAGGACAGGATGCATTCTGGAGGAGACATTCTGCAGGACTGCATCAGTGAACACAGTAGCTTGACCAAAACAGAGAGTGACCCACCAGGTGATCTGTCTTTGCCAGGTAAGAGATTTTCCATCTGGGACAAAGAACAAAAAAAAGCCCTTACAAGGATCCTTTTAATTAAGGAAGAAGTGATAAAAATGAAAGATGTGTCATTTCTTAAACTTTGGACCTGTACTTTCCGATGAAAGCTTAGAGCAAATCAGGTCTTCACAAAGTGAAGACTTGTCACTGTTGACTGGAAGTTAAATATTCCCTCTGGTACTTTAGCTCAGTGTCTTTCTTCTTTAACCCTGGACTCTAAGGCTGCAATTCTGTGTGCTTTGCCTCTAACGTGTGTGCTCTGGTGCTTCTGTGTGTTATCTACCCCCCCTCTTCTGTTCCCTGCCATCTTGTCTCTTTTTACCATCTCACTTTGGCCAGCTCTAGGTCCTGATTCCTGCTCTATTGGTATGGAGGAATAACTGTGGTATGTAGGCTTTCCTGTCTGCTCTGCTTCTCTGTGTATGAGCTCTACTGATGATAATGGTAACATTCACTGCTATCATTCACAGCTAGAAACCTCCCCCCAGCAGTGATATGTTCTGTTATGATCAACAATTAAATGCCTGCAAGGCCAAACTGGTGTAGAACAGTTTGTTCTCCTACTGAAAGTCTGAAAGGAAACTTCACTTTTAACTATGTTTCTTATCTATTGATTGTTTCCCCTTTTTCCAACCCCAGGGTCATCAGAAAGCCTGAAAAGTCAGAGCACAAACTGCTCCAGCCAGCCTCTCCTGTGTCCCACGAGCAGCCTTCATATGGAAGATGAACATCTCATCCACTAACTCCTCCCATCTTTGCTTCAGAGATCATCCAGCTCTTTCATTCCTTTCACCCCCACAGCTCAGTCTTCTGCTTGCGTGATCAGAGCTGACAACAGCCCCAAAAGGAAGTTAACAAGAGTGAGGCAGGACTCTGTTTATTCCATCAGCATCTCTTGACAAAACAAAAGAAATTGGACGGTCGCAAAGATGTTTGTGATGGCTTGTTCTATGACTGAAGTTTAAAAAAAAAAGATCAACTCCCCCCAGCTTTTTATTAACTCTCGAATGGCCTTCAGTCGTCGAGTTGTTGTTTAGTACTGTTTATTCCAGAGAAATTTCACTACCTGTCATGGTGGTGCTTTTAAGCGCACTTACTTTAAATTAACGCTGTATCAAAGTTTTTGACACTAAATTCTAAAGAATTTGTATTACTTGTGTATCCGTGTGGCCATTTGAGGTGATTTTGCTCTCCCAACAAAATCAGTTATAATTCATTCCTCACAACAAAAGTATATAATGACATATGTCTTAAGCTGTCTGCTGTCTAAAACATCAACACATGGTTTTATCATTTCAAACTATATATCTATGTATTACAACTAGAGTCCTGTGTAGTTGCCTTTAAAATTGTACATTTTTTTTTATATATATATTATATAATATATAAAAAAAATATAAATAAAGGAACTACATTCAGTTAACATGCACAATATTTAAGACTTTGATAATCAAAAAGAGCTACAGATTTACATCCTAACAGCTGAACTCAAAGATAGCTAAAGCCTGCTACAAGCATAGATGCTGCACCTACATGTTTGCTGACTTAGTGTGGCACAGTAAGGGTGCTCGTGGTATATGTGGCAACTTTCTACAGTCCCTTTTTTTCCGTGGCAATGCCAGTGTCTGCTTCTGTGATGTAGCTGCAAAAAAAGGGGTCACGTGTTTGTGTGGCTGCAGCGACTGTACTTACCTTGGTTGTGTACGTGTAGCACACTGCATATAGATCTATGTGCCTTGAATTAATGTGGCTGCCTGCTTGTTGCAATGGACATTAGTGTTCTTAAAAATGCCACAGTATACAACAGTTTCAGCCCGTAGACAGGATTTTTTTTATGCTGATGTACAGAGCCTTTTTTTCGTATCGCAAACTTCATGCTACTGGAAAAACGTGTGTTGTTATTGAGCAATATTCAATTGAACTGTTCATTTACTATGTTATTGCCATGTGTTGATTATGCATTCAATATTAGTGTTTAGGTTCAAGTGGGTTCTCCTCGTAACAATTGTGTTTTTGAAAGGAAGGCATCCAATGCAATAGATGCAAAGGCAAATGCATCTTAATAATTGGGCTCGCATTTGCATGTGAATTTGTAGATGCTTAAACCTCTGACTCCTTTGAATGCTTTTTTTTTTTTACTTTTGGTAACGTGCTTATTTTGTCTTTACTCCCTCCTTTTCTGTGCCATTTCAACTTGACACTGTGCCTTCCCGTTCTGACCACTGTTGACCTGGTATCCAGGATAACTCCACACTAAGTGGTATTTGGCTCTCTGTAAAATCAATACCTGTCTCTTCCCGTGTGTGTATAGCAGCATGTGTATAACAATAAAGAAAGAGTCATTACTTCAACTGCAAGTTGTTTGCTGATCATCTCAAGAACACAATTCTATTAAGACAATATTATGCTGTAGAGCTCACAGATTACAGTTTAATGCTGACAAATGTACAAGTTTTTGACAGTAAAACAGTGACATTTGCTACTGTGTAGATGTAGGAAATTAGCCCAGAAGTTTAAGGATTCAGAGTTTTACAAGGTAATTACAAGCATCGTGAAGAAAAGCACACACGTTTAGTAGTGGATGAAGAACATAAGAGATGTAAAATGATGTTTGCAGTCATCACTCAATATCAATTAAATCTGTCAAGCTTCAGATGAAGATGTTGGTCCTGAAATTGATAAAAACATACAAATCTGTGTTCTTTAAATGTAGACAAATACTTGGTCACACCCAAAAAGGTTCAGTGATAGCACAGTTTCCTATGTTATGCACTGCGTCATGTAAACGGATGAAAAGCAAAGAAAAATTCAAAGTTATCAAAGTCTGTCTTCTCTTCTTTTTTTCTTTTTTGCTGTGTGCACAATAGCAAACAGAATACTGGCAAGTCTAGTATCAATAAATATTATGTATATTATCAAATAAAATTAAAAGTGTGCATACTCTGTTTCTGTCATTATGAAGACCAAGCACCTGACACAGGGTTTTAGAATTACACTTAAGCACTCTGCTACTTTGGATTATATCTTTTATTGTGTATAAACATGACAATAAGGAGTCTTCTGTCACTGTGAACACTGCTCTCTACTGGCCACATGGCCAAGGAAACGTGTAGCTTTGGATCACATTTCAGTGTATTTTTCACAGGGAGCGTTGACTGTGAAGAAGGTCTGAGTGAATTCTCTATCCTGAACCTACATATGCATGAATGTGCAAATATATGTATGATAACACACATAGGAGGTTACACCCATATTAAAATAAACAATTAAATCACCAGAACATCTAAAACATGAAGTCTAGTCTGATATTTAAATAAATGGATATAATGTATCCCAGAAGAATAAATAAATGAACGACAGCTCATTTCAGTAAGAATTTTCCACCCGTCTGATGCAAAATGTCTCAGAGCTTTTCTGCAGTCATGATTAGCTGCTGCCCAGCTCAGACAACAACAGCTGTAAGCCAGTTTAAAGTTTAATGAGGATTTGGTTACACAAGCTCGCTTCAAGCTAGCCTGTAAAAACATAATACACTGTAGAAATGTGCATGTGTGCAGTATGTGTGTATCCACACACACGCGCGCACAGATTAGATTAGATCTATGACACTTTGGTCAGTGGGTCAGCGAGGCTAAATTACATAACGTCAGAGTTTAATAAGCTTTCACATGCTTACACCTTTGAGCGTCAGAGGTTCGTTTCCTTTTCTAAATTTGTCTGAATGAGTGAAAGTCAACTCTGTCACTGTTTAACTGTAACAGTGTGTTCAGCACTGAACGATTCCCAGGTCAGAAAAGGTAACGCAATCTCTGGCTGTGTACATGCCTGACATCTGATGATCCGGCTCACATAGATGTTCTTGTATTTGTGATTAGCAGGCTGTCCAGATAACACAGAATAAATGAGATTTACAAAACATCATTACAGCCCAAGGCCAAAGGGAGGAGTGGTATGAAGCAGTAATCCCTAATAATAATGTTCCTTTTTTAATAGTTGAGGCCATTTGGAGAAAGTATTTGTACAGCCAAATAACTGCAGTATAAAATATAAAACTCTTGGGGCCAGAGAAATAAGGCTTTCTTTTTTCAGTCTTAACAAAGGAAAATCCAATGAAAAAGTTTATTAGATGAAGAAGTTTAGGAATGCAATGCATACACATCCACAGAATTTGTGATATAGAGCACTGTGGTTTTATTTCATGACATGAAGTGGTTTGCTGTAGAGTGAACTCAAAGTGTCCTTTGAAATTCTACTGTTGTGCTGACAGCTAAACACGTCTGTGTAAACAGGTTTACCCAAGGCCAGCTGATGCTCGTGCGCTCTCATTTAATTAGCCTGTGCTAAATCTCTTTAAGGCATGAAATCACCCCCACAGCAATCCGCATAAAATCTCTCCTCCTTACTCAGTTCAGTCAAAGTAGCCCGGACGCCCTTGGTCTCTAAAAACACGAGCATCACCACAACAGTCACACCATGTCCTGCACATCCCCACGCTGAACAAGACAAAACCCAGAGGACATGCAAATGTGCATGTGCCAATATCCATGTGCCCATGAAAACTAGTATCTCAACAACACACTTTTTTTCATACTGAAGGTTCACAGTTTTACAATTAATCTGCCTGAGTTATTCCATCTGTGCAGGCAGGATATTACCATTACAAAAAGATATTCTAACACAGAGGGAAAAACTAAAAAAAGACTTCTGTAACTACTCTGACACGAGGTTGATTCAAATGTTTATCTCAGTGTTGGAATGATTAAAGCTTTCTGAATACTAATAAGTAAAAAATTCTCACTGAACTGCTGCAGCTACAGACTTGTCAATCTCTTAATGTGGCAGTGCAAACCAAATCCAAAGTATAAAGCGCATAAAAAATACAGCAAGAACAATAAAGTCTGCTGTTTAACGTTAGAGGATTTAAAGACTTCGGTGGCACGTGCACAGACAGCTATCCTACTTGGAAGCAGCCACTTAGAGATCAGTTAAAAAAGAGGAGGAGGGAGAGAGAGTGGGGGAGGCGAGAAGGTCAGCATCTTGCCAGCTGAGGTGACTAAGACTGGACTCAGAGCTGTGGGAAAAGCAGGGCACGGGAGGTTTTGTTTGCAGGGTTTAACTTTATCTGACTGCTACTAAAAGTTCTACTAGAAAAAGGCTGGAAAAAAGGAGACAGACTCACAGGAGGAACTGTGTAAAATAATCAGAAGCTCCTGTTGTTGCTGTATTGAGGCATGATGACACAACAGGTCAGTGGCTTACTGTTCTTCAAACCCTTCTTTCAGAAGACACCTGTCAGGGTGGACAGCTCTCTGCAACAGAGGCGGCACACACTCCCAGCCAGCGAGTTCAGGAACCTCACACCACAGGATGCCATCAGTGTGTTCGAGATTGAAAGAGAAGGCAAGTCATTAGGCAAGATCGTTGCATTTCATATAAGCAACATATTAATGTGTAACTTCATCTTAGTGCCATTTACAGAGTTAGTGAGAGCATATTTCTTTCATGCTTTCATTTTCATTCCTCCCACAAACTGACGCACTCTCTAAAATCCTCCCCAGCATTTATATCTGTGTCTGGAGAGTGTCCACTTACCCTGGATGAAGTTCTTAACTTCCTGGGTCAGTGCCCTGAGCTGTCTCTGGGCTGGTTTGAAGAGGGACAGCTGGTAGCTTTCATCATCGGCTCTGGCTGGGACAAGGAGAGGCTTTCACAGGTATTTCACAATTGCCTGATTTTGGTGAAATGACTGTGATTCTGTGGCTCATTCATTTTCTTTTTTCTTTTTTTAATAACATTACTTCTATTTAACCAGGAGGCCATGACTCAGCATGTCCCAGACAGCTCCACTGTGCACATCCATGTGCTGTCTGTGCACCGCCACTGCCGCCAGCAGGGAAAGGGCTCCATCATCTTGTGGCGCTACTTGCAGTACGTGAGCTGCATGCCAGGCCTCCGTCGAGCTCTGCTGATCTGCGAGGATTTCCTCGTGCCCTTCTACCTCAAGGCTGGCTTCAAGGAGATAGGGCCATCAGCCATCACAGTATCTAACATGCACTTCCAAGAGATGGAGTACACTCTATCTGGACAGGCGTACTCACGGCGGAACAGCGACTGCTAGTCCTTCAATCCTTACCCTGCACTCTCCACTCCACTTATTTCTAACATGGACTCTTGTCAAGCACAAAATACTGCAGCAGGAGAAAAGAGGACACGAATATAGCTGGCCTGGGTTCGGTATCCTAATGCGTCCCCTGATCCACTGAACATGGAGTTAAGTCTGTGTTAAGGCCTGAGGGGAACAACAGTGGATTTAGGTGCTCAAGCAACAAAATGAACCTGTTGCTTTTCTCAGTTATCTATTTATCTAGTCTTCTGTCACTTGTACAATAGATTAATAATGTTTTTAATTATTATAGAAGGCAATTACTGTAAACAACATCTCAGTGTAAATACAATTCTATTTTTATAAACCATACAAATCCAAGCTGTAATACAATCCCATAGCTTGTTGTGGTTTTGTTTGAATTCTTATGACTTTAAATACTTTAAAGCGATCTTCATCATGTGCTCAAGCAGGAGAGGCAGACATTTTCATTTTGTAGATTTTTTTTTACTTTTCTTTTCAAATACATGTGAGTAGACAGGTAGCTAAAACACTACCGTGTTCAAAACAGTAATCACTTCTTGAGAAGCAATAAAAAAAAAAAAAGGAGAGATAACATTCGAGTGCTCAGCATAATGTAACAAAAATATGGCAGTAGTTGGTACATTTATCAACAAGGCACCAAAGGTATCAATATCTGATTTTTGTCCCTGCTTTTGTATGAGGTTGCCTGGATAATAATATTAATAAATCTTTTGCCTGGAGGGTGAATGTACAAAAAAAGGGGAAAGAAAATCTTCATTGTTCCAGCGCTGGCTTTTCTCATTTCTGCAGGACAGCTAGGTGTTTTGGTGAGGTTCACAAGTGCCTTAGCTTTGTTTCACTCGACAGTGAAGGAGTGATGATGAAAATAAGTCCTTATGATGAGTGGTATGGGTCTTCATATTGAGTAAAATAACACAAGCATATTATCATAGTCCACATAGAAGAGGGAGACAATCCCCCAGCCAGTCCGTGTCTTTTGACCTGATGCCTTCCTGCAGTGCTCACACTTCAGTGGAGGTGAGCATTGAGGTCATACTTCTCGCAGAACTTGTCTGTAAAGGGTATGCAGGTGAGCAACTCGCACCATTCACACTTGATTGGGTAGACGTAGAAGAGCACCACGAGGCCTGAAAAGAGTCCAACAAACACCAGCAGGAAGATGATAATCTGGCAGCGTTTGCGGTACAGGTCCATGCGGCCAAAGCTGATGTAGGGTAGGAAGGCGAAGGACAGGAAGAAGCCAGAGATGAAGCCACAAATGTGGGCAAAATTGTCAATCCAGGGCAGCAGCCCAAAGGCAAAGAGGAAGAGCACCACACACAGCAGCTTGGTGAAGGCCCTCCAGGGCTGGGCCAGGATCTGCCAGCTCTGAAACAGCTCCACAAACAGGCAGGCCAGAATCCCAAACTGCGAGCCAGCTGGACCCACCTGAGACAAAGACAGCATCGAGGGACACAGGCTTGAGAAAACACAATGAGCTGTTCAGTCTTTTATATCTGATCAAAATTACTTGTCATTTTGTGAAAGGTATTGTGTCTAGCTGGTGATCACCTCTGCTCTGTAGGGCAGGAAAATGGCTGAAGCTAAGTTGCCAGTGATGCCACTGAGTATGTAAATGATTGAAATGCGCAACCAGCCTGCCAGCTTCTCCAGATCCCTCAGGATGGTCATCTGGAAAGCCACCGACACCAGGCAGTGAAGGATTCTGGGAGGACAGACAATGACAAATAGTTCATATGTGTGACGAGTGTGATGCGCGAGTGAATGTGGGTGAAAAGCCGCACGTGTTGGGAAGATAATCCCTCTGTGTTGAAGAGGCAAGCCCCTCAAGTGCCGAGTGGGAATGACTTTGCTCAACAGCAAAATCAGCCTCCATCTCACTGAAGCTTAATGAGTTCGTGTGGCGAGGGCACTTTGTTTAATTACCCAGGAGAGAGATAAGAGACTGAATAAAGATGAAGCACTGCTCTTCTTAAGGTCAGCTCTTTGTGCTGCCTGACTGACAGGTCTAAACTACACCAAAGAGAAACTGACAGTCTGATATATACTGCGAATAACTGCAAGTAATGAATACGTGGAACACATGGAAAACAGCTGGAGTAACTTTAGCCAACTGCATATGAGGCACTGCTGGTTCATCTGATAAGAAGATTGCCCCTATCTCTCTAATGATATTGTATTATAATAACATTATTATATATACACTTTTAAACAGGAATAAAGACAGAGAACAATTAAATCCCCCCAACAATGGAGGGGAGAACAGAGCTTCCCTTGAATTTGTATTGCACAAACGTTCTGGTTTAAAAGAAAAATATGTATAAAAAAAGGAAATTCCTGAATGCAGCAGTTTTATAGGATGCGCTACCAACAGGGTAATGAACCCAGAGCTGCCAAACCAAAGAACATTTGCAGGAGTCAAATGTGGCAACGACAAGTGAAGCGTCAGCAAGAAGAATCAGAAAACCTGTCACTTCTCTGCCTATTCATGCAGCGTGCACTCCTGTCACTATCTGACACGTCAAATATTAAAATGTCAGTTTGGGCAACTGTATTTATATCTAACACATTATTGTGGAATATTTAGTTATTCAGCAAAATAAGGAACATTATTATTTACTAAGTGCTTTATAGTTCAGTCGCACATAAGTAAAAATTGGCGGTTGCACGTAGAGCATGCACCACTCTCGCCTACGGGTGACCCCTTGCATTTGCAAGGTAAATGAACACGTCACATGTCAGTTTACAATCTTGTTGTGTTTACTTTACAAAACAGAAATAAACTACCCACGAGTTCTTAATTTTTATGTATTCCAGAGATGCCATTTGCTAACAAGTGGCATTATGATATTACAGAGGATTTCCTGGAAATTATTCTTCATTTTGCCAAGCACAGGAACTTGGACTGGTAATATTATTACTTACTTTATGTGACTGCATTTGTGCTTCAGTAATAATGAAAGATGCATTAATTTGTGAAGTTTGTTGTGCCAAAAACTCACATAAGTATGAGAAACTTTATGATATTATTATTATATGCATATTATCTTATTTTCTGCACTATTCCAAAAAGTGTAGAGCACAGTTAGCAACCAATAAATATAATATAATTTAAAGAATGAAAAAGTCATCCCTGCAGTACTCAGGTGCCTACATAATCAACTAACCAACACTATTTCAACACTTCTTAACTGGCATATTCTCCCATTCAGTGTGTATTTTTTTAATAAACAAACAGGAACCAACCACATATAATTCATTGTCTGTAAAGGCACTATTTGTCCTCACCTCCTTTTGTTGTCTTCTATTAACCATCTATTCATCTTTCATATATGTGTTGAGGATGCCTCTGTATTTGATTTGTTGTGATACGAGGACATATTGATACCAAGAGCTAATTTCCTTGTGTGTGGCAAACATCTTGGGCGGATAAACCTGCCTGATTCAGATCTTTTAATAATTTCTGTCTTCGCTGCTTGGTGCTAACACAGACCCTGACGTGGACCATTTCCACTGTCTGATAAGAAGAACTGTGTTAATTGTCCCTCTGGTTGGTGAAATTAGTTATTATTATTATTATTATTATTTTCTTTTTGTTTAATCCAGCTCATGTTAGAAGTTGTCTTGAAACAATAACTAAACACCACAAAACCTGTTAAAACTTTCCAACTATTACTTTTATTAGTACTTGATTCTTTTGCCAGGTAGAAAGCTGAATGAGCAGCTACTGCCAGCGACTGACTCACCCAGCATGTAGGAAGAGTGAGAGCCAGAGCCTGTAAAACTGATCTGGGACCTCAGGGTTGAGGAAAGGCAACAGTCCACACACATCGTCCATGCAGTGCACCTAAAGAAAGGGCAGAACACGGTGTCGTGACATAATAACATCACACAGTCATAATGAAAACCCAAAACAAGGAATGGAAAAACTGGAAAGAAAGGCAGACACCTACACAGTTCCTTAAACATTAAACCCCCCCCACATCTTTCTAATCAGTACTAAGTGGTTTTTTTTTTCTTTCTTCTGTATTAAACAGAGTTGCTTACTTGAGAGCAAAGAGTAGCCTCCTCATGAAAGTAGCCCTTCATGAAGTCACAATATTCCCGGGATGTAATTTCACACCTTGAAGAAAGCAAACGGCATGTGTTAAGCAAGTGAATCAAGTGGTTATTCATCCAGTGTGCAATTTATTTGGAATAAATGTTTCTCTCCTCACCTCCCTTTGGTTCCAATGCAGCAGGGTCGGCCTGTGATGGTACAGTCTATATGAGGCAGGTTGGTATGGTTCCCTGTGTTGTACCTGGTACAAACCTAAAAGCCAGGGGAAAAGGGAACAACAGTCAATTTATCCTGATTATATCCAAGGCAAAAATTTTAAAATAAAACAGAATGAATTCTGTAGTGTAAATTTTTTTTTTTTACAACTCAGCTACACCAAAAGCAAGCATTTTTTATACTGAGAATAGTATAAAAGTAGCAGGGAGAAAGATGATAACATTGCTAAATTGCAAATGATCTAAAATTTCTGTGTTTTGAGGTATAACATAAATATTAGAAGGGTGTCAGGATTTACCAGTCGTAGCAATAAAGGTGAGATTTGAAAAACTATTTTAATGCATTTAATCGATCCTTAGTAGTGGAAAAGTGGGTGGTTGCCCTGCAGTGCTGAGGGTACCAGCTCCTCGAGAAAACCGGCACAAACACAGGGACAACATGCAAACGCCACACAGGAGGGCCTAGCTCTAGATTTAAATCCTGGACTCTCTTGAGAAAAATCACAATCTGATCTATCCTTCTTCTGTTTGGGCCTCAAAACCAAGCGGCGTTTCAGCATACTCACTGGCCACTTGGTGATGTCATCGGGCCATTCATGAGGTGACACTGAGGCTGGCTCTAGACATATCCTGGAAGCACAGAAGGTATAGCAGTACAGTGTCGTTATCATTAAATAAACACCGCAAGCTTCAACCACTGAAACTACTAGGCGCCTTACCTGGGATCCTGATGGCACACTGAACCGTACTGTCTGTCTTTACCATTTAACTTGGGAGTGCTGGGATGCCCCGGCCATTTCACCCACACAGCCAGAGTACTCTGAAAACAAGAAATCAACATTGCCCACGGCTTCTCTTTGATGCAGAGCTGCAAATGTCAAGGATCCCAAAATAAAGGGTTGTTTACCGACCGAGCATTCCTCCTCTGAGGTTTGGACGCAGCCTGAGCGATCGTTGCGCACACAGCAGGCAGAGTTTCTTTCGATGTCCCTCTTTTCCCTGATGAGATCATGCACTTGCTGGTCTTGGCGCATGCATGGAGAGTATTTGGCCCCCAAGTGGATCAGGGCTTCCTAAA